ATTTACATGCAATATAATGTGTATGTAGTGTCAAACTGTAATAAAAAGAGCAGAAATCAATGAAATAGAAAACAAAAAAAATGTACAAAGAAAATCAATGAAATTAATCTGACCTCCAAGGCAGCAGGCCCAGAAACCTCACTGGCCTGCCTCTAGGCACCTGGATCTATCCAGAGGACCACTCAAATGAGAAGCTCCAGGTGGCAAAGGCAGCAAGAGGAAACCAGGAGCTGAGAGTTGGCTGAAAAGAAACTTGTTGGAAATGGATTTTCTTTCTGGCTAGTTCAGGAGTCTGAGGAAGTTTTTCTCAGGCTGAGAATTTTAAGGACATACATGTCTATAACAGAAAAAGAGGATGATCATGAAAATATAAAATGTCTTTGTCAGTGAGAGAATAGACATTTTTGGATGAAATGTACTACAAGCTAAAGCTTAGAAAGTAAGGTCTATAAAGGCTTCCCAGCTAAGAAAAATAAAACATAATATGTTTCCAATTGAAGAGATTATCCAATGACTTAATATGGAAAAAAAAAGAAAATCAATGAAATTAAAATTTCCATTTTTACAAAAGATCAACAAAATTGTCATACTTTGCTTAAACTGATCAAGAAAAAAAAAGAGAAGACACAAATCACCAAAATCAGAAATGAAAAAGGAGCTATCACTAATGAATTTACAGAAATAAGAACTTACTATAAGGCAATATTATAAACAACTTATGCCGAAAAATTAGACAACTTAGATGAAATAGTCAAATTCATAGAAGACAAAAATTACTAAAATTTACTCATAAAGAAAGAAAAAATCTCCACTGACCAAAAGAAACTGAATTAGTGAAAACAAACAAACACACAATTCTTTCCGCAAATTAAATTCCAAGCCCAGATGGTTTCACTAGAAACTTTTATTGAGTATTTCAAACCTATCCTTCACAAACGCTTCTACAGAGAATACTTCTCAACTCATTCTGTTATACTCACTCAGTGTTATGCTAATACCAAATCCATACAAAACATCCCATGAAAATAATAACACAGACCAATATCCCTCATGAATATAGATGCAAAAATCCTCAACAAAAGTAAATTGAACTCAACTGCTTAATATACACCATGACCAAGGGAGATTTATTTCAGGAATTCAAAGCAGACTTAATATATGAAAATCAGTTCATGTAGTATACCATATTAATAGATTCAAATTTATAGATTCAAGGTTAAAAATAATACTATCATCTTAATAGATAAAGACAAAATATTTGGAAAAACTCCAATATATATTTCTGATAAAAAATCGCAACAAACTAGGACTATGTCCTAACTTTCTCAACCTAGTAAAGAATGTCTACCAAAAAAAAAAAAAAAAAAAAACCCTACAACTAACATTATGCATAACAGTGAAAATTGAATACTTGCCCCTTAAGGTTAGAAATAAAGTAGGGATGTCAATGGTCATGACATTGAACTAGAGGTTCTAGCCAACAAGACAGGAAGGAAAAAGAGAAGGAAAAAGGAGGGTAGCTGGGGGAGAGAGGGAAAGAGTGAGCTAGTTAAATGCATTCAGATCAGAAAAGAAATTAAAATGTCTTTATTTGCAGATACATGAAATAAAACTCTAAGGGATCCAAACAGCTACTAGACTAATAAGTAGGTTCAGCAAGGTCATAGGATACATGTCAATATTATAGGATCAATCGTATTTTTATATAATGATAATATATAATCAAAATATAAAATTAAAAGAACTGCATTCAAAATAGCATCAAAAAGAATATAACAGACAGTTATAAATTTTACAAGAGAAATACAAAACTTGTAACAACATTTTTAATTGCCCTTCAAAATGCACCATTAAGGAAATTAAAAGAAAGCCAAAAACTGGCAGAAAATATTTGTAAATCACATATTTTATGAAGGATTTGTATCCAGATCATATAAAGGACTCTTAAGACTTAATAAAAAGGAAACAATCCAAGTGGAAAACGGAGAAAAGATTTGAATAGAGATGGCTAAGAACATGAAAAGATGCTGAATATCCCAATTCAATACCATTTCACACCTCCTAGAATGTCTACTATCAAAATGAAAGATAACATGTGATAGTAAGGATGTAGAGAAATAAATCCTGCTACATTGCTGGTGGGAATGTAAAATGACACAGTCACTATGGAAACCATTTTGGTAATTTCTTAAGAAGCTAAACTTATGATAAGACTTAGCATCTACCCAAAAGAAATTAAAACATATGCTCACACAAAGACTGATACACAAATACACACACATTTTTGGATAATAGGCAAATAAAATATGGTATACCCATACAGTGTAATACTATTCAGCAATGAAACAAATTAACCTAAGATATATACTAGAACATGGATGAACCTCAACATCATTATTCTGATCTAAAGAAACCAGACAGAAAAAAACGACACAGTATATGAGTCCTTTTGGATGAAATGTACAGGAAAGGCAAATCAATAGATAGAAGAAAAACATGAGTGATTGCCTGGAGCCAGAGTTGGAGCTAGAACTGCCTATAAACAGGCATGAGGGGCATAGGGATGAAAACATTTGAAATTTACTACAAAATACTGGATTGTACACTTTAAATGAGTGTACTTTATGATATGTAAGTTATATTCCAATGAGTAGCTTTAAAGATTCCAATGTTTACCCCACCAAGACAAAGAGAAGTAAAAAACTGAGAACAAAAATGCCAAATGAATACCAACTTACACCTGGAACAAACATGAGCTGAAGGAGGGACTTTCAAAGCCCAATCATGAAACAGCAGCCAGACTTTCCCCCTCCATATTCTGTGTGTTCAGTGTGGAAAGAGACCCAGAAGAGAAAGGGTGAATTTTTTCAGTAGGGAAGTGAGGAAGCAGAATATAAGTCATGACTCCCTGACAGATCTGGAGGGTCTACCTGAGTCACTTG